GGATGACAACCTCAGTGTGGCGCACATTCTTCTTGATTAAGAATCGCTGCCATGCATTCCAAGAACTCTTATTTAAAGAAAATGCATTTCAGTTTTTCAAAGAGCTGCCTTGTTATTTCAAAGTCGTCAACGTGGAAAGAAAAGGGAAAAATGCAGGGATCCTATACGATCACATAATGCTTCATCCGAACATCGGCATTATGAATAGCCATTGAACACTACTGTTAAAACTGCGCCTTGTTTTCATGTCAGGAGCGACTTGAGAAACTGCAAATCGCTTCTGGTGTGAGAGAATTGGCCGTCTGCAAGGACGTTGCCCAGATGTTTTGATGTTTTACCATCCTTGCGGGAGGCTTATCTCATGTCCCCGCACGGGGAGCTGGAGCTGACAGCGGGAGCTGACAGTGGGAACTCATCTGCGCTCTCCCCAGATCTGAACCTCCGACCTGTCGGTCTTCAGGGTTTAACCTATTGCGACACCAAGGGTTCCTAATTTCTCATGAGCTCTAAACTAGGGATGGGCAAACCCAAGCCAGGAGTCAAATGAGGCCCCTTGGGCTCTTTTCTCCTATCCTTCCTTCCTTCACTCTTCCTATCCTTCCTTCCCTCTTTCTCTCACACTCCCTTCCTCCTTGCTTCCCTTCCACCCTTTCATCCTTCCTTCTATCTTTCATCCCTACTTCCCTCTCTTTCTCCTTCCTTTCTTCCCTCTTTCCTATCCTTCCTTCCTTCTCTCTTTCTTTCCTTCCTTCCCTCTTTCTCTCTCCCTCCCTGCTTCCCTTCCGCCCTTTCATCCTTCCTTCCATCTTTCATCCCTGCTTCCCTCTCTTTCTCCTTCCTTCCCTCTTTCCTATCCTTCCTTCCCTTTTTCTCCCTCGCTTCCCTTTCATCCTTCCTTCCTTCTTTCATCCCTGCTTCCCTCTCTTTCCTTCTTTTCTTCCCTCTTTCCTTTCCTTCCTTCTCTCATTCTTTCCTTCCTTTCTTCCCTCTTTCTCTCTCCCTCCCTCCACCCTTTCATCCTTCCTTCCATCTTTCATCCCTGCTTCCCTTTCTCCTTCCTTCCCTCTTTCCTATCCTTCCTTCTCTCATTCCTTCCTTCCCTTTTTCTCTCTCCCTCCCTTCCTTCTTCCTTGCTTCCCTTCCACCCTTTCATTCTTCCTTCCATCTTTCATCCCTGACTCCCTCTCTTTCGCCTTCCTTTCTTCCATCTTTCCTATCCTTCCTTCTCTCATTCTTTCCTTTCTTTCTTCCCTCTTTCTCTCTCCCTCCCTCCACCCTTTCATCCTTCCTTCCATCTTTCATCCCTGCCTCCCCTTCTTTCTCCTTCCTTCCCTCTTCCCTATCCTTCCTTCCTTCTTTCTCTCTTTCTTTCTTTACTTCCCTCCCTCTTTCTCTCTCTCTCTTCCTCCCCCCTTGCTTCCCTTCCACCCTTTCATCTTTCCTTCCTCCTTCCTCTCCTTCTCCTCTTCCCTCTTTCCTATCCTTCCTTCTCTCTCTTTCTTTTCTTCCTTCCTTCCCTCTTTCTCTCTCCCTCCTTGCTTCCCTTCTACCCTTTCATCCTTCCTTCCATCTTTCATCCCTGCTTCCCTCTCTTTCTCCTTCCTTCCCTTTAGTGTCTCCTTCATTCTCCCTTCCCTCTCTCCATTCCCTTCCTCCCTTCTCTTTTTCCTTCTTCCTTTCCTCCTGGGGGATGTTTAGCTGTGAGAAAAGAAAGTAGAGAGGGAACATGATTGAGAACCATGTTTCAAGATTTCAAAGGGTGTCCCATTGAGGAGGGGGGGGGGGAAGAGGAAGAAAACTTTCTGCTGCTCTAGAGACCAGGGCACAAGGGAGCCATGGGTTCAAATGGCAGGGAAAGAGATTCGACTGATGAGGAAGAACTTCCTGGAGAGTGGCCTAGGGTTCCTGGAAGTGTTGTGGAGTCTCCTTCTCTGGAGGCTTTTCTACAGAGGCTGTCTATCGGGAGTGCTTTGATTGTGCCTTCTTGGTTGGCAGTGTTGCACTCCAGGACAGGAAAAGCCCTCTGACTTTAAACACCACACCGTTGGATGGAAAACAGTCGTTTTATTGAAAATAATTAAAAAGCAGTAAAAAAAAAACCACTTTAAAGAAATAGGTAAATCTAATTAGGTAGGAAGATAAGCAGGAACAAAGTAGTCCAAAGTAACCGTCCAGTAAAGTCCATAAAAACAAAGTCAAAACTTCCCAAATGAAATGCAAGAAATCAGGAAACATGAAACTTCCATGAACAAGGACGAGGGCTTGACTTGATTCCAAATGATGCTTCATCTCACTACAGATCCTCTACTTGGGACTTTTATCTCCTCGTTAGCTATGTCTCCAGCGCTCAGAAATTGGTTTCGCTTTAGCTAAGAATTTCTTATCTTCCTGGTCAAAATAATAATAATGGTCAAAGATCATGGTCTCTAATATTTTTTTAACAAAACATGGCAAATCTATGGAAATAGATTTCACTATCCCTAGCAAGTGATAAAAATGCATGCATTTATTTAACTTCAGGTTGGATCATATTAGTAAATGTCTTCTGGTCTTTTTCTCCAGAACAGCCAGTAGAGGCGACTTTGTGTTTTCTGCTGATCGCTTGGTAAGTGACTATTATTATTATTATTATTATTATTATTATTATTATTATTTTCATATTTATGACCTAACCCTTTCCCTTGTATAATTTTAATCTCATGTCGAATGATCTGTAGTTGTTTAAGACTTTACTTACTTACTTACTTAGGCGATCCCTCGTTCTCTGAGTAAGATTGTCTTCCAAGATCAGTGTCCTGGCGGTGGGTCTGGAGGTGGCTGTGGAGCCCTATTCTTGACCTGCATCTTCTCCTGCAGTGAGGGCATCGGTTTCCAGGTGGAAGGCAGTCCCGGTTGGGGTTGGCTTGACACGCCTTCCTCTTGGCACGTTTCTCTCTTGTGCCCTCCATTTGTGCCTTTTCAAATTCTACAGCACTGCTGGTCACAGCTGACCTCCAGCTGGAGCGCTCAAGGGCCAGGGCTTCCCAGTTCTCATTGTCTATGCCATACAGTAGAGTCTCGCTTACCAAACTTACTTACTTAGACGATCCCTCGTAGTCCGAGGATAATGGTCCTCCAAGTTTGATGTCCTGGCGGTGGGACCGTAGGTGACTGTGGAGCACCATTCTTGATCTGCAGCTTCTCCCACATTGGTTTCCAGGTGGAAGGCGGTCCCGGTCGGGGTTGGCTTGACGCGCCTTCCTCTTGGCATGTTTCTCTCTTTCGCCCTCCATTGTGCCTCTTCAAATTCTACAGCACTGCTGGTCACAGCTGACCTCCAGCTGGAGCGCTCAAGGGCCAGGGCTTCCCAGTTCTCAGTGTCTACGCCACAGTTTTTAAGGTTGGCCTTGAGCCCATCTTTAAATCTCTTTTCCTGTCCTCCAACATTCCGTTTTCCATTCTTGAGTTCGGAGTAGAGCAAGAGACGGTGGTCGGGCATCCGGACAACATGGCTTGTGCTGGTACGGCTGTACCAGTAGCTCCAACTTTATTTGCTTTGTATTGAATTCTTTGGGAGATGGTGGTCGTGCATCCGGACAACGTGGCCGGCCCAGCGGAGTTGATGGCGGAGGACCATCGCTTCAAACTGGTGGTCTTTGCTTCTTCCTGCACGCTGACATTTGTCCGCTTGTCTTCCCAAGAGATTTGCAGGATTTTCTGGAGGTAGCGCTGGTGGAATCATTCCAGGAGTTGCATGTGACGTCTGTAGACAGTCCACGTCTCACAGGCGTATAGCAGGGTTGGGAGGATAGAATCATAGAATCAAAGAGTTGGAAGAGACCTCCAAAGGCCATCCAGTCCAACCCCATTCTGCCAAGAAGCAGGAATATTGCATTCAAATCACCCCTGACAGATGGCCATCCAGCCTCTGTTTAAAAGCTTCCAAAGAAGGAGCCTCCACCACACTCCGGGGCAGAGAGTTCCACTGCTGAACGGCTCTCACAGTCAGGAAGTTCTTCCTCATGTTCAGATGGAATCTCCTTTCTTGTAGTTTGAAGCCATTGTTCCGCGTCCTAGTCTCCAAGGAAGCAGAAAACAAGCTTGCTCCCTCCTCCCTGTGGCTTCCTTTCACATATTTATACATGGCTATCATATCTCCTCTCAGATAATAGTTTTATAAACAAACACCTTGGTCTCCCTACAGATGTCGGTCCTCAAACACTCTCTGCTTCATTCGGAAAAATGCTGCACTCACAGAGCTCAGGCGGTGTTGTATTTCGGTGTCGATGTTGACTTTGGTGGAGAGGTGGCTGCCAAGGTAGCGGAAATGGTCAACATTTTCTAATGTTACACCATTAAGCTGTATCTCTGGCATTGGAGAGGGGTTGGCTGGTGACTGCTGGAAGAGCACTTTGGTTTTCTCGATGTTCAACGCCTACATATATTCTTCAATAAACTGCTTGCTGATTTTACCAAGCTGGCGTGGTGTTTGAGGTCAGAGGTTGTTTCAGACAGTAGACTCAAACCCACTGGGGCTTATTTTTGTATAATTTTACACTGGAAGGGAGGGACAGCTAAGATGTGTTTCTAAGTCTTTGTGTGTTATTGTTTATATGTGATTTATATTAATTTGTACTGTTTTTTGTTTACTGCTTTTTTGTTTTATTGATGTTTTGGGCTTGGCCTCATGTAAGCCGCACCGAGTCCCCTGGGGAGATGGTGGCGGGGTATAAATAAAGTATTATTATTATTATTATTATTATTATTATGTAGCATGTTGTTGATGTACTGTTGTATTTGTATTTGTTGGGCTTGGCCTCATGTAAGCCGCCTCGAGTCCCTTCGGGGAGATGGTGGCGGGGTATAAATAAAGTTTTATTATTATTATTATTACTAGCTGTCCCCTGCCACGCGTTGCTGTGGCCCAGTCTATATATGTGTGTTTTGTGTTTGTGTATATATGTGTTTATACATTTGTGTATATGTGTGTTGTGTGTGTATATATGTGTGTGCATATGTGTGTATGAAGATGTATTTGTGTGCATATATTTGTGTGTTTATATATGTATATGTATATTGTGTATATGTGTGATTGTCTATATGCATATTTGTGTTTATATGTGTGCATCTGTATATTTGTGTGTGCATGTCTATATGTATATATGAGTTTGTATGTAGATGTATGTGTATTAGTGTGTCCTTGGGTGTATGTGTATATATATACATACACGTGTGTGTGTGTATGTATGTGTGTGTGTGTGTGTGTGTGTGTGTGTATAATAATATATTATATATATATATAAGTATATATATATATATATATATAGTAAAATATAGTAATATATAATACTGATAATGTACTAATAATATTATATATATATATATATATATATATATATATATATATATATAGTGTGTGTGTGTGTGTGTGTGTGTGTGTGTGTGTGTGTGTGTGTGTGTGTGAATGAAGTGGAGCTGGAGAAGCATCCCCCATTTCCCAGGGGGGCAGGAGCACGACTTTCCTGCGGTTTTTTATTTAAGTGCAGGCAACCAAACAGTTGTGTTACATTTTTTACAGAACAAACAAACAACATACAATACATAAAAAAACACAATTTTTGCAAACTTGGTAGTTGATTAAATGTCCTTTGACCAGTCTCTGGCCCCTTGGAGTGCCTCTGGTGTTGCCGCAAGAAGGTCCTCCCTTGTGGATGTGGCAGGGCTCAGGTTGCATTGCAGCAGGTGGTCAGTGGTTTGCTCTTCTCCAATCGCATGTCGTGGATTCCACTTTGTGGCCCCATTTCTGAAGGTTGGCTCTACATCTCGTGGTGCCAGAGCGCAATCTGTTCAGCGCCTTCCAAGTTGCCCAGTCCTCTGTGTGCCCAGGGCGGAGTCTCTCATCTGGTATCAGCCATTGATTAAGGCTCTGGGTTTGAGCCTGCCACTTTTGGACTCTCGCTTGCTGGGTGTTCCAGCGAGTGTCTCTGTAGATCTTAGAAAACTATGTCTAGATTTAAGTCGTTGACGTGCTGGCTGATACCCAAACAGGGGATGAGCTGGAGATGTCTCTGCCTTGGTCCTTTCACTATTGGCTGCTACTTCCTGGCGGATGTCAGGTGGTGCAATACCGGCTAAGCAGTGTAATTTCTCCAGTGGTGTAGGGCGCAGACACCCCGTGATAATGCGGCATGTCTCATTAAGAGCCACATCCACTGTTTTAGTGTGGTGAGATGTGTTCCACACTGGGCATGCGTACTCGGCAGCAGAGTAGCACAGTGCAAGGGCAGATGTCTTCACTGTGCCTGGTTGTGATCCCCAGGTTGTGCCAGTCAGCTTTCGTATGATATTGTTTCTAGCACCCACTTTTTGCTTGATGTTCAGGCAGTGCTTCTTGTAGGTAAGAGCACGGTCCAGAGTGACTCCCAGGTATTTGGGTGCGCTGCAATGCTCCAGTGGGATTCCTTCCCAGGTGATCTTCAGAGCTCGGGATGCTTGTCTGTTCTTGAGATGAAAGGCACATGTCTGTGTTTTAGATGGGTTAGGGATCAGCTGGTTTTCCCGTAATAGGCAGTAAGAGCACCTAGAGCTTCGGAGAGCTTCTGTTCAACCATCTCAAAGCTCCCTTGTCATCAGCATAGATGAAACTCTCTGTCCCTTCTGGCAGTGGCTGGTCATTTGTGTAGATGTTGAACATGGATGGAGCAAGCACGCTTCCCTGAGGCAGGCCGTTCTTCTGTTTCCGCCATCTGCTTCTCTGGCCCTGGAACTCAACAAAAAAGCTCCTGTTTTGTAGCAGGTTTCCTCTGAGGCGGGTGAGGTGGTCGTCCTTTGTGATATTATACATTTTAGTGATGATGCTATTACTATTAATATTTTAGGGGTGATGAACACTCATTGTTCTGTTAGGGCTGTAGTGTCCAAATGTCGTGTCAATTTGTCCAGTGGTTTCTGTGTTATGTTAATCCCACAAACGAACATTACATTTTTATTTATATAGATTATTATTATTATTCTGAAGGTCTGAAGAGAAATCTTAGTGGTGTCTTTCTCTTAATGTGTTTTTAGAACTGCAGATTTATTTATGGAGTTCTTGGCTTTTCCGTTCTTCTCTCCTTCCCTAATCTGGATTCGTACTTCCTTACAGATCAGACTTGTGGTCGAAGAGGGATTAAACCAGCTGCCATATACAGAATGCACAGTAACCACTCCAACAGGTAATAGGAAGCACCTCTCTAGGAAAAGATTTGCCATAAGGCCAGAATGGATCATATCTTGTAGGAGACCTGTAGCAAACATTGTCAATTCTGTTAATAGGAGCATATGTGTATTATTTTGTCAGAACAAGCTACTTCCTGGAGATAGTATGAGTTAGGCATGAGCCATTTAAGTTAAGTGCATGTCTGCCAATCTCGTAAAGAAGGGAGCACTTTCACCAAACACTTTTCCTGAAATTTGGCCCAGGAGTCACTGCCATGATTTTTCACTCTTCCCCACCTTTTCCATTTTCTAAAAGCTGGTCTTGGGTTATTATGCAACACTAGTGGTTCTCTGCCAGGCGTTGCTGTGGCCCAGTCTGGTGATCTGGAAAATAAAGTAATGAGAAAGTGTTGGTTTCTAATGTATGTAATTTCTTTCCACTTGTGGGTAAACAGTATTTCTTGCTGTTTTTTTGTCAGTGTTGATGTGGAGAGTGTCTGGTTTGCCTACTGTGGGATATGTAACATGTAATTGTCTTCTTTAAGGGTCCCTTTCAAAACGATGATACTATATCTCTGTGTGTGTGTGTGAATCATATTGTTGTTGTTCATTCGTTCAGTCGTCTCCGACTCTTCGTGACCTCATGGACCAGCCCACGCCAGAGCTCCCTGTCGACCGTCACCACCCCCAGCTCCTTCAAGGTCAGTCCAGTCACTTCAAGGATGCCATCCATCCATCTTGCCCTTGGTTGGCCCCTCTTCCTTTTTCCTTCCATTTCCCCAGCATCATTGTCTTCTCTAAACTTTCCTTTCTTCTCTGATGTGGCCAAAGGACTTCCACTTTCCCTCTAGTCTCCTTCCCTCCAATGAGCAGTCGGGCTTTATTTCCTGGAGGATGGACTGGTTGGATCTTCTCGCAGTCCAAGGCACTCTCAGCACTTTCCTCCAACACTACAGCTCAAAAGCATCTCTCTTCCTTCGCTCAGCCTTCCCTAAGGTCCAGCTCTCACATGCGTAGATGTGACTATAAGGAACACCATGGCTTTGACTATGCAGTGGATCTTGGTTGCCAGTGTGATGTCTCTGCTCTTTACTATTTTATCAAGATTGGACATTGCTCTCCTCCCAAGAAGGAAGCTGTAAGGAAGTTATTGAAACTAGGTATATGTATTTGAACTGTTTAACTATTTGTTTGGTAACAGTAGCTGAAAACTAGAGCTAACTGGTTGTATCCATTGTGGCGTTGCCAAGGAGACCAGGCAGGAGAGAGTGGAAAGTGGGCGGAGCCTAGCGAGAGAAATCTATCTGCGTTTTGAAAAGAAGCAGTTAGTTAGGGTTTGGAGTTCGGAGTGAGCAGTTGAGAGAGGAGAGAGGGAAGTGGAGAAGCAGTGTGTGTGAACAGCCAGAGGTTTCTTCAATCTAGGAAGGTTGAAGGGGGAAACCTGATTAGTTTCATTAGTCAGAGAAGACTAAGGGAAGCTTGTTTAGATCACTAGTTAGGAAAGAACTAGAGATCTAGGTTTGATCAAGAAAGGATCAAACAGGAAGGCTATTCACCTCAGGAAACATTGTTTAAGAAAGTGCTTCACTACAGTAAAAGTCAAATACAAGTTGTGTTATACAGAAGAGTGAACTGTATTGCAAACCAAGTTACATACAAAGTTCTCAAAGTATTTCCAAGTTTGTCAACAGCCTGCAACCATACGCTTTGTACAAAATAAACTTATTAACTTTTGTTGAAGACCGTGTCATCTCCATTTATCTGCGTCTGGGGAGCCAGTTCTCATCGGCAATACCTCACGTTGGTGGCAGTTACCTTAATTACATCTATAATCATCTACACCTTTTATAAATTAGCAAACCTTTGGAGATTTAAACAGTAGTAGGTGGAATACCTTCGCAGATTGGCCAGTGTTGCTAACCACAGTAAAACAAATCCCATTGCAAATTGGCGAAGTGGAACACACTATTACAAATTGGTGGCACCCCTCATTGCAAATTGGTGGCATTCGGTGGCATTAGAACGGTCATCTATTACAGAAGCGTCTCCTGATTTCCTGGCCACAGTCTGCATCTGCAGTCATCTTTGCACCTAGAAATACAAAGTCTGTCACGGCCTCCACGGTTTCTCCCTCTATTTTCCAGTTGTCAATCCTTCTTGTTGCCATAATCTTGGTTTTTTTGACGTTTAGCTGCAACCCGGCTTTTGCGCTTTCTTCTTTCACCTTGATTAGAAGGCTCCTCAGCTCCTCCTCGCTTTCGGCCATCAGAGTGGTGTCATCTGCATACCTGAGGTTGTTAATGTTTCTTCCAGCCATTTTCACCCCAGCTTTGCATTCCTCAAGCCCCGCACATCCTCGCATGATGTGTTCTGCATACAAGTTAAAAAGGTTGGGTGAGAGGATGCAGCCTTGCCGGACGCCTTTCCCAATCTTGAACCAGTCTGTTGTTCCGTGGTCAGTTCTGACTGTTGCTCCTTGGTCCTTGTACAGATTCCTCAGGAGAGAGGGAAGGGGGCTTGGGATGCCCATCCCACCAAGAACTTGCCACAATTTATGATGATCCACGCAGTCAAAGGCTTTAGAATAGTCAATGAAGCAGAAGTAGATGTTTTTCTGAAACTCCCTGCCTTTCTCCATTCTCCAGCATGGATATTGGCAATCTGGTCTCTCGTTCCTCTGCCTTTTCTAAACCCAGCTTGAACATCTGGCAACTCTCGCTCCATGTATTGCTGGAGTCTTCCTTGCAGGATCTTGAGCATTCCCTTCCTGGCATGAGAAATAAGGGCCATTGTACGGAAGTTGGAGCAGTCTTTCGCATTTCCCTTTTTTTGGTATGGGGATATACGTTGATTTTTTCCAGTCTATGGCTGGATGGTTCTTTGTCAGGAGGGCTTTGTTTATGTTATTTTGCCCTGGTGAAGGTGGTTGGACTGGATGGCTTTGAGTATTTTCTGTTGGTCATGGGGGTTCTGTGTGGGAAGTTTTCCCCAATTCACACTCCTTGGAACTCTGAATTCCAAACGATCAGCAGGATCTAAGGTTCCCGTTTCGTCAAGGTCAGTCTGTTCGTTAGTGTTATCCAGTTTGCCTTCCTGCTCATTATCAGGCTGAGAACTGTCCTCCTTCTCTGAATCAATTTGCACCTGCACCTGACTAGTTTCAGTATCTACAAGCTCGTTTCTTGCTGTGGGAAACTGAACTTCCAAACCCTGTTCCTCGTTGACTATAACAGGGACATTTTGAACCAGATTGTGTTCCTGAATCGCATTGTCCTCATCAGAGGCACTCTGTGGTTCCAGCAGAGTCACAACAGGACCTTCCACAGATATATAAACCCCACTTGCCTAGTTTCCAACAGATCTCACAACCTCTGAGGACGCCTGCCATAGATGTGGGAGAAATGTCAGGAGAGAATGTCAGGATTATTGAAAGTATGCATGTATGTTTTTTTCAATGTGTTTCAATATGTTTATCAATGGTGTTCATATGTATTCAAGATGGATTCAGTTATGTTCAATTGTATGCTAGAATTGTTGCTAGAGGCAGAGAGAGTAGAGACCTTGACAGAAGTTAGATAAAAAATTTTTCTGCCTGGGAAGAAAAAGGGAGGATCCAGCCAGAGAGAAATAAGATAAGCAGATGTTCAGGGAACTGTTTTGTGCTGTGCTTTGTAGTATTCATTATTCGCCCGCTAAGATGTAGACCTGTCTTGAGATGTGCTAAGTAAACTTTGTTATTTTTGAAACTGGAAAACTGCAGTGTGTCCTGTTTTGCGTCTGTGTGATCTAGTAACCTCAGTTTCACTGCGCATAGCCCCCAGGGTCTCACTCTGACGGAGAATGCTTCTGATACATGGCCAGACAGCCCAAAAAACTCACAGCAACCCAATAGTAGAGATGTGTGTCACCTGCATAGAGATGGCATCCAATTCCAAAACTCCAGATGACCTCACCCAGCAGTTTCATGTAGATGTTGAAGAGCATGGGAGATAGAATAGAACCTTGCGGGACCCCACAGGTCAATGGCCAGGAATCCAAGTAGGGTCCGATTCTCCAGGAAGGAGCGGGGTGCACAAGACCCATTCTGGAGAGTTGACTCATATTTGTGTGAAAGGAAACTGAAAAATGTTTTTGTGTTGTCTCCCGACAGGGTACAAGTACGAAGGGGTGAAATTTGAAAAGGGAAACTGTGGAGTCAGCATCATGAGAAGTGGTAGGTGGCTTACAATTACTTTTTCCCATAGGGTAGAATCAGTATGTCCACAAAGAAACGCTCCCTGACTTACCGTATATACTCGAGTATAAGCCGACCCGAATATAAGCCGAGGCACCTAATTTTACCACAAAAAACTGGGAAAATGGATTGACTTGAATATAAACCGAGGGTGGGAAATGCAGCAGCTACTGGTAAATTTCAAACTAAAAATAGATACCAATAAAATTATATTAATTTAGGCATCAGTATGTTAAATGTTTTTGAATATTTACATAAAACTGTAATCCAAGATAAGACTGTCCAATTCTGATTAAACCATTATTCTAACCTTCTTCAATGTAAATATGTTTACATGTCCTCCAATAATAATAAATAGAGTAAAATAATAAATGTAACAATAACAACAACCATAAAATAATAAATGTAATAATAACAACAACAAAGTAAAATAATAAATAACCTTGACTTGAGTATAAGCCGGGGGAGACTTTTTCAGCTTAAAAAAAGGACTGAAAAACTAGGCTTATACTCGAGTATATACAGTAATTGTATTTTGGAAAATCTCTTATGGGACCGGCAAGGGGGAACTAACAATATGGGGACCGTTGCCTCTATATTTGCTATCCCCGTTCTTGGCTCTTTCACTTTGAAGCAGAAAGGGTTGCCTCTAGGAAGGGCAGAACCTTTTGATTTGGAAGTCTTTGGGAACGTGCCATTCTTTGCTGTATAACTTTTATTTATTTGTATTTATTTATTTACGAAATTTATATGCCGCCCTTCTCACCCCGAAGGGGACTCAGAGCGGCTTACAAGATATATATACATACAATATATTATATTACTAGCCGTCCCCTGCCACACGTTGCTATGGCCCACATGGGGGTTCTGTGTGGGAGGTTTGGCCCAATTCTATCGTTGGTGGGGTTCAGAATGCTCTGTGATTGTAGGTGAACTATAAATCCCAGCAACTACAACTCCCAAATGTCAAGATTCTATTTTCCCCAAACTCCACCAGTGTTCACATTTGGCATATTGAGTATTCGTGTAGAGTTTGGTCCAGATCCATCATTGTGTGAGTCCACAGTGCTCTCTGGATGTAGGTGAACTACAACTCCAAAACTCAAGGACAATGCCCACCAAACCCTTCCAGTATTTTCTGTTGGTCATGGGAGTTCTGTGTGGGAGGTTTGGCCCAATTCTATCGTTGGTGGGTTCAGAATGCTCTGTGATTGTAGGTGAACTATAAATCCCAGCAACTACAACTCCAAATGTCAATATTCTATTTTTCCCAAACTCCACCAGTGTTCACATTTGGGCATATTGAGTATTCGTGTAGAGTTTGGTCCAGATCCATCATTGTTTGAGTCCACAGTGCTCTCTGGATGTAGGTGAACCACAACTCCAAAACTCAAGGTCAGTGCCCATCAAACCTTTCCAGTATTTTCTGTTGGTCATGGGAGTTCTGTGTGCCTACTTCGGTTCAATTCCATTCGTGGTGGAGTTCAGAATGCTCTTTGGTTTTAGGTTAACTATAAATCCCAGCAACTACAACTCCCAAATGTCAAGATTCTATTTTTCCCAAACTCTACCAGTGTTCACATTTGGGCATATTGAGTATTCGTGTAGAGTTTGGTCCAGATCCATCATTGTTTGAGTCCACAGTGATCTCTGGATGTAGGTGAACTACAACTCCAAAACCAAAGGACACTGCCCACCAAACCCTTCCAGTATTTTCTGTTGGTCATGGGAGAACTGTGTGCCAAGTTTGGTTCAATTCCTTGGTGGGGTTCAGAATGCTCTTTGATTGTAGGTGAACTATAAATCCCAGCAACTACAACTCCCAAATGACAAAATCAATTCTTTTGAGTGAAGGACATACATTGGGTTGTTATGTGTCTTGTGTCCAAATTTAGTGTCAATTCGTCCAGTGGTTTTTGAGTTCTGTTAATCCCACAAACAAACATTACATTTTTATTTATATAGATTATTGATTTATTATTAATAAATTATTAATAATAATTTATTATAAATTATTAATAATAATTTATTATAAATTATTAATAATAATTTATTATAAATTATTAATAATAATTTATTATAATTAATAATTTATTTATGTCGCCCTTCTCACCCCAAAGGGGACTCAGAGCAGCTTACAAGATATATATACATACAATTGTTATGTTATTAGCATAGTACAATATCAGTATTAAATATTACTCTATTGTACTATACCATTAGATTGTAATATTATTAGTAATATTACATGTAATATAAATATATAATTATAATTTTTTATTATTATTATTATTATTATTAGTAATATATTGCATTACAATATAATATTATAACTATTATATGTATATACAATATATTATATTACATTATATCCTTTTCTCCCACCTGAAACAAAGGCGAGGCAATGGAACAAGGCTTGCGGGACTGCTGTCGATCCATCCGAATAGGGAAGATCCTCATTCAGAGCGATGAAGAGACTCAGCGAGCCAAAGTGTACTATGCAAAGTTTCCACCCGACATCTACAGGAGGAAAGTTCTTCTCATGTACCCAATACTAAGTGAGTACCCTGAGGACATTCTTTGTGACATGCAAGGTTTTGTGTGCATTTGCTGGCAAAGTATTGTGGATGGACACCCCATATTTCAGGTGGGGAGTGGGGGGGAGGTATGCCTGGCAGAAAATAAATATCAGTTGAGTCATGTGAGTGAAGTCAATACGGACTTTAGGAGGGTCTCCCCAGTGAGAGAAACCCCTAGGACCGCACCAAAGAGGGCCCATGACCTTGGCGAGCCATCAGAGAAGCCTGATTCCAGCAATTTTATTGATATTTGAAAAGAAGCAGGGAAGCTGAGGGATGATTTATTGTTGCCACCAATTTGAAAGGAACCAGTATTCAGGAGATTTTACTCCAGTTCCCAACTTTAAAAAGGACTAGCCGATTTGCAATGGAGGTTGCCGATTAGGAACCAAATTTACCATCAAGTTAGAAGGGAGGCTGTTTAATTGCACTTCCTCCTTTATTAAGAAAGTAATAACTTAGTAGTAATTACACTGTATATACTGTAGCGTGACTGGAGAGAAGAATGTAGATTTATTTTGTTACTTTTCCCTGCGTTTCTGCCACCACGTGAGGTAAGTTGTAATATTGTGAGAAATGGCACTTTATACCCAGAATAGACGGAACTGAGGCGATCTTCAAATAAAAGTTAACAATTTTATTAAGTACACAGCGTGTGGTTGCAAGACGTAACTTTTCCTTGTTGCACTTGGAATAATACTTGTAACTTTAACAGTTCATTCTTTCAAGTAACACAGTATCTTTCTGACGTAGAGCACTTGTTTCAGACAAAGTTTCAATACAGGGATGTTTCCCTTGTTGATCCTTCCTAGATCAATACTAAGTAAACTATTCTTTAGCCTCTCCTTAGACTAAAAGAATACCAGCTAGGTTTCACCATTCGGCTGCACTAGCCTGAGAAACTTCCAATAGCCAAACCCAGCTTTTCAAAGCCTCAAAGCTTTGCTTCACAAGTCACTCCGCCACCTTTCCTTTCCTTCTCTCCCAACTCCTAACTCCTCACTCCTCTGAACCTAACTCCTCTAAACCTAAACCCTAACTGATTTTTAACTGTCGTTTTTTCAAACTCTCCCCTCTAAGCTCCTCCCACGTCCCTCTCTCCTGCATCGGTCTCCATGGCAACGCACATGGAGGACTCCTCTGACTTAGGCCGCTCCAGCATTACTGCAGCCAATCTAAACACAAATACAGTTAAAATCATACAATTTATAATCAACTCCTGTACAATATTAATAATTGAAATGAGACTCTTGCCAGGGCGAAGAAGTGGCACTGAGGTTTATTAGCGATTCAGCTGAAGCGGATGCAATTGCAGTGATCATTCACATGCAAGCATAAAGAAATACATTTGATACAGCCATTTATATAGAGTTTTCAAAGTTGCAGAGTTCAAACTTCCCGCCCCAGCCTCCCTGCCGCCCTCCACTGCGATTGGACAATGGGCGAACAGGTGGGAGGTGGCCTAGTCAATTTTTAATATTTCTGGCATATAGTAAAATAATAGAGTTTACACTATTTACAACAACAAGTTTTCTATAACACAAATAAGGTTCTTTATACTTCCTTCTTTGCTTCCACGCTGGGCTTCTTTCTCATGCAAATAAACAGCTTCGCTCTCACAGAGCTTCTTCTCACAACGAAGTTACACAGAAGCTTCACACAGTAGCTTAATACACAGCAGCCTTCACACTGGAGCTTTATACACAGCAGCCTTCACACTTGGAGCTTTACACACAAGGCCTTCAACCTGGGGCTTCTATTGCTGAATCTTCTCACACCAGGCCTACCTCAGACTGTGGCCTCTCTCCCACTGAGGCCTCTCTCCCACTGAGGCCTCTCTTCCACTGAGGCCAGCTAACATTGAGGTGTTCTCATACTGAGGCAAACTAATACTGAGGAATCTCTCTAACACTGAGGCCTATCTCATACCGAAGCCTCTCTCATGCTGAGGCTTACCTCAGACTGACTCCTCTTCATACTGAGGGCAACTAACACTGAGGCGTACTAAGCTACAGGCATATTTACTTATATGGAACTGTAGCTTTTGCGGAGTCATTCCATCCATTTAACCCTTTCAGTGCTTGACTCACATTTTTATAATTAAAAATACCTAGTTAATTTTTAATATTTCTGACATATTGTTCCCTTTTCTCTCCTTGCTGCCCTGGGGCCCTTTCAGGTACTGGCAACACTGTGATTGAGGCTGTCAAGGTTCTTCTAGAACATGGAGTCCAGCCAAACGTCATCATCCTGCTGAGCCTGTTCTCTACACCCCACGGTGAGTTAAACAACGGGGTGCAATAAGACCCAGAGGAGAAGCATTGACTGGTTGTGTGGGGTCCATCTGACTGCTGGTTACTTTAATGTGGAATAGAGGAAGGCAGCCACTTTGAGTCTTCTTCAGGAGAGATAAAGCGGGATATACATAATAATCATCATCATCTATATAAATAAAAATGTAATGTTCGTTTGTGCTATTCACAGAACTCAGAAACCACTGGGGCAATTGACACCAAATTTGGACACTATGTCCCTAACAACCCAATGTATGTTCTCCACTCAAAACACCCACGAAAACCAAAAGCAGAAAGGACTTCTAAACTGCATGTTCACAAAGGAGAAACTGCATGTCTACCGAGACCCATGGCCACGCCCCCCTCCTCACAGGGAAACAGCCGGCCGTTAAAGCCAGGCGCACGTGCACAACCACACACACACACACACAAGCGAGTGGAGTGAAGGTGGAGGCTTGCCACATGGAGCCCCTTCTCTTCCCCTCCTATGTCAGGAGAGCAGTCTCCTCCTCCTTTCCCTGTTGGAAAGTGCCAGCAGCAGCAACGGAGTGCTCCACGCAAGAAAGAAGGGGAGGAGGAGGAGGAGGCGAGGAAGGTCCACGGTGCTTGAATGAAGGACCTTCCTTCTCTCCCTCCCTTCCCTTCTTTCCTCCCTTTCCTTTCTTTCCTTTCCTTCTTTCCTTCTTTTTCCTATCCTTCTTTCCCTCCTTCCCTTCCTTCCTGTCCCTCCTTCCTTTTTCCTTTCCTTCTTTTCCTTCCTCCCTCCCTCCCTTTCCTCCTTCTTTCCCTTTCTTCATTTCCTTCCCCTTCATTTCCTTCCCTCCCTTCTTTCTTCATCCCCCTCCTTTCTTTCCCTCCTTCCTTCCTCCTTCCTGTCCCTCCTTCTTTCTTTTCCTTCCTTCCTGTCCCTCCTTCCTTCCTTCTTCCTTTTCCCTCCTTCCTTCCTTCTTCCTTCCTTCTCCTCCCTCCCTGTCCCTCCTTCTTTCTTTTCCTTCCTTCCCTTCTTTCCCTCCCTTCCCTTTTCCTTCCTTCCTGTCCCTCCTTCCTTCCTTCTTCCTTTCCTTCTTTCTATGTAAGATATAAATACAATATTAAATGGAAGGGACAGTCAAGAAGTAACGAGAGAAGGAGGGAAAGAGGGAAGGAAGGAAGGAGAGAAGGAGGAAGGGAAAGAAGGAAAGAAAGAAAGATAGAGAAGCAAGGAAGGAGAGAAGGAAATAAAAAGTGAAAGGAAAAAGAGAGGGAAGGAAGGAGAGAAGGAACAAAAGATAGGGAAGAAATATTACCACTGTTGGGCTTCAGCCTGGGTGTGAACCTGAACCTGATTCTCTGATTGTATTTCCTGATGCTACTGAAAATGTATTTCCTGATGCTAATGAAAATGTTGATTCTGAGGTCAGTGTAGAAGAAACTCCTGCAGGCTTGGAAAGTGAAAGTACACATTCTCATGAGAATGTTTCAGAGCCAAGCAGTGATAGCTCTCCAGAGAAGCTAACACCTGGGATCCTTAATGAGGATAGAAGAGGACAGATTTGGCAAAACAGGGGTGAATCGCAGAGTTTGCGAAGGTCAGCCAGATTGAAAGAAAAAGAAACAAGGGCTTCAAAGCCTGGAGGCATGTCACGAAACAGATTCCTCGGCTTTAAGTGCCTCTCGCCGGGTTGACTCTTTAGATCAGGCATCGTTTTAGACTGAGGCATTACCTTGGCAGATCTCCCGTTTCCCGTGGCCTTCATCCCAAGAGGCTTCTAGTGCTCCAAGTACGGTTAGTGGATTGCTAACAGGTTCCAGGATTTTACAGTGTTGCTTTTGGTTTTTGATCTAGTTCATGGAAATTTCTGATTGCTGATTTTTACTGTGGCTTTTTGACTTTGCATTTTCCTCTATTTTGTAACCATTTTTCATCAATAAAAAGGGATTGTTTTTCCCACAGTCAAGTGTGGTGGATTGTTGTCTTAGGTAGAGAGGGAAAAAAGATGAGAGAAAGGGAAAGAAAATGAGGAAAGGAAGGAAAGAGGGAAGGGAGGAGAGAAAGAAGGAGGGAAGGTTGGCCACAGCAACACGTGGCAGGTACAGATAGTAGTAATAATAATAATAATAATAATAATAATAATAATAATAATACAGCGTGATGGTTTTAGGTGGTTGTTGGCTTGGTGTGATGTTGACCCTCGAGTGAGCCGGTGTTTCCTGGCTAAGGACATGAAGGACATTGAATAGTCTTTCAATGTGTTCTCTTAATTCCACGGCTGGCTTGATTTCTGTCAGTTAAGAACAAGGTTTCTATAACACGAATAAAGTTCTTTATACTTCATTCTTTGCTTCCATGCTAAGCTTCTTTCCCATGCAGATAAACAGCTTCTTACAGAGAAGCTTCATGCTGGAACTTTATATTTATTTATTTACTTACAGTATTTCTATCCCGCTTTTCTCACCCCTCGGGGGACTCAAAGCAGTTTACACATAACTGACAAAACTTCAGTGCCATACATTGGACACTGACGCGATGCCAAAACATAACAACCACAATAATAAAACCACAATTAAGCATAAATCATAATTAGACAGTACATAAGCAATCATTAAAACAATAAATAATAAAAACAGTCTCGCCAGTCGTATTGTCATTCTAGTCCATGTCCTTTAAACTCTACAAACATCTACTGTCCGAAGGCCTGATCCCAAAGCCATGATTTTAATTTCTTTCTAAAAACCAGGAGGGAGGGAGCAGATCTTACCTCATTTGGGAGTGTGTTCCATAGGCGAGGGGCCACAGCTGAGAAGGCCCTGTCTCTCGTCCCCGCCAGACGCATTTGTGCAATTGACGGGAGCGAGAGCAGGGCCTCCCCGGATGATCTTAGATTACAAGATGGGACGGAGGGGTGGATGCGTTCGGACAAGTAAGCTGGGCCAGAACGGTATAGAGCTTTATAGGTCAAAACCAGCACTTTAAATTGGGCTCGGAGATGGACCGGCAGCCAGTGGAGCTGGCACAACAGGGGGGTGGGTTTTTTTTTGTTTGTTTGTTTTGGGTTTTTTTTTTGTCGTGTCAGGAGCAACTGCTCCTGTTGTGAGAGAATTGGCCGTGGATGATTTTTGATGTTTTATCATCCTTGTGGTATGCTCCTTGTATGTTGCCCCAGTTAGTAATCTGGCTGCCGCCCATTGGACTAGCTGAAGATTCCGAACCCTCTTCAAAGGCAGCCCCACGTAAAGCACGTTGCAGTAATCTATTCGGGATGTAACCAGAGCGTGGACGACCGTGTCCAGATCAGACTTCCCAGGGTACGGGCGCAGCTGGTGCATGAGTTTTAACTGTGCAAAAGCTCCCCTGACCACCGTCGAGACCTGGGGTTCCAGGCTCAGCAATGAGTCCAGGATCACTCCCAAGCTGCGAACCTGCGTCTTCAGGGGGAGTGGAACCCCATCCAACACAGGCTGTAACCCTATGCCCTGTTCGGCCTTACGACTGACCAGGAGGACCTCTGTCTTGTCTGGATTCAATTTCAATTTGTTAGCTCTCATCCAGTCTGACACAGCAGCCAAGCACCGGTTCAAGGTCTGAGCAGTCTCCTTAGTAACAGGTGGGAAGGAGTGACAGATTTGGACATTATCTGCGTAGAGATAACACCTTACTCCGAAACTCCAGATGATCTCCCCCGGCAGCTTCATGTAGATGTTAAATAACATCAGGACAGCACTGAACCCTGAGGGACTCCACAAAACAACGGTTGTGGAGCCAAACAGGTGTCACCCAGTAACACCTTCTGAGACCGACCCTCCAGGAAGGACTGAAGCCACTGCAGAGCAGTACCTCCAAGTCCCATATCTGTGAGGCGTCCCAGAAGGATACCGTGGTTGACAGTATCAAAGGCCGCTGAGAGGTCCAGCAGAACTAACAGGGACACACTCCCCCTGTCCAGCTCCCGACATAGATCATCCACTAAGGCGACCAAGGCTGTCTCGGTTCCATGTCCCGGCCTAAAGCCAGACTGTGCCAGATCTAGATAATCAGTGTCTACCAAGAATACCTGGAGTTGTGAGGCCACCACACGTTCCAAGACTTTGCCCAAGAAGGGAAGATTGGAAACAGGCCGATAGTTGACAAATTGAGTGGGGTCAAGTGATGGTTTTTTCAACAGCGGTTTTATAACAGCCTGTTTTAGGCTGGCTGGAATCTTGCCCTCCTGTAAGGAGGCATTAACCACCACCTTAACCCACTCTGCCAAACCCCCTCTGGCTTCTTTGATCAGCCAGGATGGGCAGGGGTCTAGGATGCATGTTATACACAAGGCCTTCAACCTGGGGCTTCTCTTACTGAATCTTCTCACACCAGGCCTATCTCAGACTGAGGCCTCTCTCCCACTGAGGCCTCTCTCCCACTGAGGCCAAACAGACAACTTACTCATTTTGGGAGGAAAGTGAAGGGACAGAGCTGTTGCTTTCAGCTCGTGCATCTGGAAAAGGCTGCTCTACTGCCTTTGGAACTTTCCATGAACTTTGTACCGCAGAGAATGTCATACATTCGTGCCTTAGTCATATCAGGATGTGCGCATTGTGTGGGTTCAGGCGGCGCATGACTCAGCCTGGATGCAGCCCAGGGATGTTTTGCCTTGACGGCTGGGTGGATCCACAGCTCGGAGGAGACAAGCAGTATAATTATACACACATGGGAACCAGATGAGTCAGTCGAATGAATGGGTCTGTCACTTGAAAAGTCATTTAAGTCCGCAAAACAAAACACTGATGGATTCAGATCTGACCTTAAAAATCAGGGAGATTTACCATATGTACTCGAATATAAGCCGAGTTTTTCAATGCCTTTTTTAGGCTGAAAAAGCCCCCCTCGGCTTATTCTTGATACAAAGTTATTTATTATTTTACTTTATTATTATTGTTATTACATTTATTATTTTACTCTATTTTTTATTATTATATTTTCATTATTTTACTCTATTAATATTTTATTACATTTATTATTTTACTCTATTATTTTCTTACATTTAATGTTTTATTCTATTATTATTACATTTATTACTATACTATTATTACATTTATTGTTTTATTCTATTATTATTACATTAATTACTATACTATTATGATTACATTTTATTATATTCTATTATATTGCATTTATTGTTTTATTCTATTATTATTACATTTATTGTTTTATTCTATTATTATAATTACATTTATTATTATTACATTTATTGTTTTATTCTATCATTATTATTACATTTATTATTATTACATTTATTGTTTTATTCTATTATTATTACATTTATTATTATTACATTTATTGTTTTATTCTATTATTATTACATTTATTATTATTACATTTATTGTTTTATTCTATTATAATTACATTTATTATTATTACATTTATTGTTTTATTCTATTATTATTACATTTATTATTATTACATTTATTGTTTTATTCTATTATTATTACATTTATTACTATACAATTATTATTGCATTTATTATTTTACTTTATTATACTATTATTATTACATGTGTTATTTTACTCTATTGTTCTTATGACATTTACATTATTTTACTCTATTATTACATTTATTTTACTATTATTACATTGATTTATTTTTTATTATTACACTTATTATACTATTATTATTACATGTGTTATTTTACTCTTGTTCTTATGACATTTACATTATTTTACTCTATTATTATTACAGTTATTATTTTGCTCTTATTATTATTATTATTATTGCCCTGCCTCATGTACGGAGGAGGAATTGTTGGAGGCTACAGACAATGCCGTTGCTCTTGCCTGTTTTTGGTCAAAAGATATTTAGCCACCTGCACAACTTGATTTTTTACCAGTTTTATACTAATCTATTGAATGCTTTTGATATGAAATAAATAAAATTCCATTGTGTTAACAATTGTGGGAGTTGATGGACGGCCGGAGTTTTCCCATGCCTGGTCCAAAGGCAAATAGACTTAATTCACCATTGATCGTAAGGTTTCTTGGAAGTTGGCATTGAAAGTAGACAATTCTAAAGCTTGGCAAAAACTTGATACATGAAACTAAGAACACTTGGAAGCAAGACCATGCTCAAATTCCAACGTTGACCTGACTGAGACAGCTCTCTCCCATGAATCATTCAAAATAATAATAGAGTAAAATGATGGAAATGTAATCTATATAAATAAAAATGTAATGTTCGTTTGTGGGATTAACAGCACTCAAAAACCACTGGACAAATTGACATCAAATTTGGACACAAGGCACCTAACAACCCAATGTATGTCCTTCACTCAAAAAAATTGATTTTGTCATTTGGGAGTTGTAGTTGCTGGGATTTATATGTAATGTTCGTTTGTGGTATTCACAGAAATCAAAAACCACTGGGGGAATCAACACCAAATTTGGACACAAGACACCTAACAACCCAATGTATGTCCTTCACTCGAAAAAATTGATTTTCTCATTTGGGAGTTGTAGTTGCTGGGATTTATAGTTCACCTACACTCAAAGAGCATTCTGAACCCCACCAACGATGGAATTGAAGCAAACTTGACACACAGTTCTCCCATGACCAACAGAAAATACTGGGAGGGTTTCATGGGCAGTGTCCTTTGGTTTTGGAGTTGTAGTTCACCTACTTCCAGAGAGCACTGTGGACTCAAACAATGATGGATCTGCACCAAACATGGCACGAATATTCCATATGCCGAAATATGAACACAGATGGAGTTTAAGGGAAAGAGACCTTGACATTTGGGAGTTGTAGTTGCTGGGATTTATAGTTCACTTACACTCAAAGAGCATTCTGAACCCCACCAGTGATGGAATTGAACCAAACTTGGCACACAGTTCTTCCATGACCCACAGAAAATACTGAGAGGGTTTCATGGGCAGTGTCCTTTGGTTTTGGAGTTGTAGTTCACCTACTTCCAGAGAGCACTGTGGACTCAAAACAATGATGGATCTGGACCAAACTCTACACGAATACTCAATATGCTCAAATGTGAACACTGGTGGAGTTTGGGAAAAATAGAATCTTGACATTTGGAAATTGTAGTTGCTGGGATTTATAGTTCACCTACAATCAGAGCATTCTCAACCCCACCAGCGATAGAATTGGGCGAAACCTCCCACACAGAACCCCCATGTGGGCTACAGCAACGCGTGGCAGGGGACGGCTAGTAACAATAATATTAGAGTAAAATAATAAATGTAATAATAATTAATGGACAGGATGACTTTGGTCACTATTGAAGCTTACCTGGACTTTCCCCCTCCTTCTTCTTTCATTTTCAAGGTGCCAAATCAATCATCCAGGAATTCCCCGACATCACGATCCTCACCACAGAGGTCCATCCTGTCGCTCCCACGCATTTTGGACAGAAGTATTTTGGGACAGACTGAAGTACGCAGCCCAGTTTGCGTTTTGTTACTGTATGATATGACTTATACCCCCTTTTCTACGTTTTTTTTTTAATTTGTAGTGGAGGCCTCAATGGGTGTATTTGACTTTTTGTTCCCTCTCTTTGCCAAAGGTGAAAATAGTTGACCTAGGACAATAGGGGTGGGGTTTTCTTTTTTATTTAAATGATGGAATATTTGGTCTCATGTCTGGTTTTTATTTGAATGATGAACGGAGGGCAGTGAAGCACCTCGGACGACGACAGGCTTTCTAATGATGCGAAATCAAAATTGCTGCATTCCTCGTCCCTTTTATTTATTCCTTTGTAGCCTGCTTGACCGGCTGCTTGCAACTGTACAATAAAGCAACTCTGATGGTACCATGCTCTGCTCCCTGGATTTTTACTATTTAGTATTTCTTCCATTTGAATGCACCATCATTGCAAGACACACCCCATTTTTAGAAATGTTTATATGGGGAGAACGCGTGTCTTAAAATGAAAGAAATACAATGTCTATCGTAGAATCCTAGTTGGAAGAGAGTCTAAGGCAGTGGTTCTCAACCTTTCTAATGCCGTGACCCCTAAATACAGTTCTCCATGTTGTGGTGACCCCCAACCATATTTTTGTTGCTACGTCATAACAGAAAATACTGGAGGGGGTTGGGAAAAATAGACCCTGACATATGGGAATTGCAGTTCACCAGGCACCAAAGAGCATTCTGAACTCCACAAACAATAGAGGCATGTACAAAAGATTAGATTTATCCTACCTTCAATCGCTTCACTTCCTGAAGAGGCTTCTTTGCTGCCCTGTGAGTGGTGCAGGCACAGCTGCCTGAGAGGCCAGAGGGTGCGAGAGGCGAGTGGCAAAGGCACCCTCCATGGCTGCAGCCATGCGGGGAGCCTGCCTCTCGCCCTTTGCACATTCCGAGGCTGGAAGGTGCAAGAGGCGAGTGGCAAAGGCACCCTCCATGGCTGCAGCCATGAGGGGAGCCTGCCACTCGCCCCTTGCACCTTCCGAGGCTGGAGGGTGCAAGAGGCGAGTGGCAAAGGCACCCTCCATGGCTGCAGCCATGCGGGGAGCCTGCCTCTCGCCCTTTGCACCTTCCGAGGCTGGAAGGTGCAAGAGGCGAGTGGCAAAGGCACCCTCCATGGCTGCAGCCATGCGGGGAGCCTGCCACTCGCCCCTTGCACCTTCCGAGGCTGGAGGGTGCAAGAGGCGAGTGGCAAAGGCACCCTCCATGGCTGCAGCCATGCGGGGAGCCTGCCACTCGCCCCTTGCACCTGCCGAGGCTGGAGAGTGCAAGAGGCGAGTGGCAAAGGCACCCTCCATGGCTGCAGCCATGCGGGGAGCCTGCCACTCGCCCCTTGCACCTTCCGAGGCTGGAGGATGCAAGAGGCGAGTGGCAAAGGCTCCCTCCATGGCTGTAGCTCCCTCCATGGCTTGTACCTTCTGAGGCGATTGGGGGGGGGGGCAAGAGGAGAGCATTGGGTGGCCTGCTCAATCCTCGCCCCTTCTCTGCTAGGCAAGAGGCAAGGGCCCCGCGCATGCCTTTGCCTACAAGCTCCTCCTCCTGACTCCCTGCAGTCCTGCGAGAAGAGGAGAGCCAACCAGGAGCGCCTGGCTGTTTGGCTCGCACAGGATTCTGCAGCCATTTTGGTGGGGGGCGGAGCTAACTTAGGTGTCTTCGCGACCCCCGGAAAATGGCCCAGTGACCCCCTGGGGGGTCGCGACCCCCAGGTTGAGAACCGCTGGTCTAAGGGATCCATCAATCATCAGTCACAGAGTCTTAAGAGTTGGAAGGGACCCCATTCTCTCTCTCTCTCTCTCTGCCTGCCTGCCTGCCTGCCTGCCTGCCTGCCTGCCTATCTATCTATCTATCTATCTATCTATCTATCTATCTATCTATCTATCTATCTTTTTATCTATCCTCATTTAGGATGGACTAGATGGCACTTGGGGTCTTTCAAGCTCTTGGATTCTATCTGTCTATCTGTCATTGAAGGGTTGGACCGGATGGCCCTTGAGGTCTCCTCCAACTTTGCATCTCTATCTATCTATCTATCTATCTATCTATCTATCTATCTATCTATCTATCTATCTATCTATCTATCTATCTATCTATCTATCTATCTTTTTATCTATCCTCATTTAGGATGGACTACATGGCACTTGGGGTCCTTCAAACTCTTGGATTCTACATGTCTATCTGTCATTGAAGGGTTGGACCGGATGGCCCATGAGGTCTCCAATTCTAAGACTCCATCTCTATCTATCTATCTATCTATCTATCTATCTATCTATCTATCTATCTATCTATCTATCTTTTTATTTATCCTCATTTAGGATGGACTAGATGTCACTTGGGGTCCTTCATAGAATCATAGAATCAAAGAGTTGGAAGAGACCTCTTGGGCCATCCAGCCCAACCCCATTCTGCCAAGAAGCAGGAATATTGCATTCAAATCACCCCTAACAGATGGCCATCCAGCCTCTGTTTAAAAGCTTCCAAAGAAGAAGCCTCCACCAGACTCTGGGGCAGAGAGTTCCACTGCTGAACGGCTCTCACAGTCAGGAAGTTCTTCCTCATGTTCAGATGGAATCTCCTCTCTTGTAGTTTGAAGCCGTTGTTCCGCGTCCTAGTCTCCAGGGAAGCAGAAAACAAGCTTGCTCCCTCCTCCCTGTGGCTTCCTCTCACATATTTATATATGGCTATCATATCCCCTCTCAGCCTTCTCTTCTTCAGGCTAAACATGCCCAGGTTAGTGAGTGTGAGTTCTAACAAACTTAAACTTAACTCTAACAAAGCAACACTCAAAGCAACTAATTTTAAACACTTACTCAGATTTCTAGTGCCCTTTAATACAAGGCTTATCCTGAAGCAGAAGGGAACAAGATGGCTTCTTGCTTCCTCAACTTCTGTGGGAGCACACTGACCTTTGAGTTCAGGCCCTGGCTTATATATGGTAAACAGGAAGCAGAACAATGGGCCACTAATTGCTGGCCTGCACTGCTGGCTAAAAGAATGTAGCCTCGCCCCGCCTCTCAAACAAAGCAACACTCAAGCAGCTAATTTTAAACACTTAAACTCTAACAAACTTAAACTCTAACAAAGCAACACTCTAAGCAACTAATTTTAAACACTTACTCAGACCTCTAGTGCCCTTTAAGACAAGGCTTATCCTGAAACAGAAGGGAGCAAGATGGCTTCTTGCTTCCTCAACTTCTGTGGGAGCACACAGATGGCCCTGACAGATGGCCATCCAGCCTCTGTTTAAAAGCTTCCAAAGAAGGAGCCTCCACCACACTCCGGGGCAGAGAGTTCCACTGCTGAACGGCTCTCACAGTCAGGAAGTTCTTCCTCGTGTGCAGATGGAATCTTTAGATGAAGAGAAATAGTATTTCTTCCATTTTAAGGCGCCATTGTTGCAAGACACACCCCATTTTTAGAAATGTTTATATGGGGGGGGGGAACGCGTGTCTTAAAATGAAATAAATACAATGTCTGTCTAACGTAGAATCCTAGTTGGAAGAGACTCTAAGGGATCGATGAATCATCAATCATAGAATCTTAGAGTTGGAAGGGACCCATTGACTATCTCTGTCTCTCTCTATCTATCTATCATAGAATCCTAGAGTTGGAAGGGACTACAAAGGCAATCTCTCTCTCATATTATCCATCCATCCATCCATATTCATCTATCATATAATCCTACAGTTGGAAGGGACCCAAAAGTTATCTCTATCTATCTATCCATCCATCCATCCATCCTAGAGTCCTAGAGTTGGAAGGGACCCCAATAGCTATCTCTGCCTGTCTGCCTGTCTATCAAGCAATCAATCAATCATATCCTAGAGTTGGAAGGGCTCTATCTATCCATCTATCATAGAATCCTAGAGTTGGAAGGGACTACTCCAAAGGCAATCACTCTCTCATATTATCCATCCATCCATATTCATCTATCATATAATCCTACAGTTGGAAGGGACCCAAAAGTTATCTCTATCCATCCATCCATCCTAGAGTCCTAGAGTTGGAAGGGACCCCAATAGCTATCTCGTTCTGTCTGCCTGTCTATCAATCAATCAATCATATCCTAGAGTTGGAAGGGCTCTATCTATCCATCATAGAATCCTAGAGTTGGAAGGGACTACTCCAAAGGCAATCTCTCATATTATCCATCCATCCATCCTAGTTGGAAGGGATCCCCCATCCATCATCTCTTCTATCTATCTATCTATCTATCTATCTATCTATCTATCTATCTATCCATCCATCCATCCATCCATCCATCCATCCATCCATCCATCCATATTCATCTATCATATAATCCTAGAGTTGGAAGGGACCCAAAAGTTATCTCTATCTATCCATCCATCCATCCATCTATCATAGAATCCTAGAGTTGGAAGGGACCCCAATAGCTATCTCGGTCTGTCTGCCTGTCTATCAATCAATCAATCAGTCAGTCAATCAATCAATCAATCATATCCTAGAGTTGGAAGGGCTCTATCTATCCATCTATCATAGAACCCTCGAGTTGGAAGGGACTTCTCCAAAGGCGATCTCTCTCTCATATTATCCATCCATCCATCCATCCTAGAGTTGGAAGGGATCCCAAAAGCTCTATCTATCTATCTATCTATCTATCTATCTATCTATCTATCTATCCATCCATCCATCCTAGTGATAAACTCTATCTATCTCTATCTATCTATCTATCATCTATCTATCTATCTATCTATCTATCTATCTATCTATCTATCTATCCATCCATCCATCCATCCATCCATCCATCCATCCATCCATCCATCCATCTATCATATAATCCTAGAGTTGGAAGGGACCCCAATAGCTATCTCTGCCTGTCTGCCTGTCTATCAAGCAATCAATCATATCCTAGAGTTGGAAGGGTTATATCTATCAATCTATCATAGAATCCTAGAGTTGGAAGGGACCCTAAAAGTTATCTCTATCTATCCATCCATCCTAGAATCCTAGTTGGAAGGGACCCCAATAGCTATCTCTATCCATCCATCCCATCCCATCCATCCTAGAATCCTAGAGTTGGAAGGGACCCCAAAGGCTATCTCTATCCACCCATCCATTCTAGAATCCTAGAGTCCATCCATCCATCATAGAATCCTAGAGTTGGAAGGGACCCCAACGGCTATGTCTGTCTATCTGTCTATCAATCTATCCATCCATCCATCCATCATACACTTCTAGAGTTAGAAGGCTATCTCTTTCTATCTATCCATCTATCCATCCATCTATCATAGAATCCTAGTTGGAAGTCACCCCAACGGCTTTCTCTGTCTGTTTGTCTATCATCTACAGTATCTATCATAGAATCCTAGAGTTGGAAGGGACCCC